GGTAGGTTGTCTGGGATGTGTGTGCACGTGTATGCATGTATGTGAGATAGACACCTTAGTATGTAGGCTCCTTGAGGGCAGGGACTGATGTGAGCACATGTAAAGCACTGTGTAAATTGCTGTCGCTATAGAAATGATTGTAATAAATCTGAGAGAATGGGAGAACAAAAATCGAATTTCTTTCTATTGTCTAGAGGGACACAGCTTGCTTATAATTAACCAACCTAGGGACATCGAAAAGCAATCCAAACAGAGGGGCTGGCACACAAAAAACAAACACAGGTGAAAGACCAGCAAGAGAAAACCTAAGCGAAAGGGAAAGCAAAAGGGAAAGCAAGGGCAATAAACAGCCATATGCAGAACCTTTCAATTAAAACTAGCATCTGCCAAGGCAGACACATTGAGCTTATAAGATTTAGAAAATGTATGTAAAGAAGACCAGATTGCAGTCTTAGGGATCTGAGACACAGAGGGCTGAAGACAAAATGCTAACAAAAGCTTTGAAGGTGGATATCGACGGTCCCACCACTTGTATGCAGCTCCGTAGGGAAGACCAATGTCAGGACTGAAGTTGCAAAACCTGACTGTGCAGCTTTGTCTGCACAGACAATGGCATAAGGTTCAATGCAACAGTCATCTTGTCAATGCAATCAGTATATAGATCCCTACTTTAGGGATTTAAACCAATCAGACAAAGTTTGGGAAAAAGTAAAGAGACAAGCATGGGCTGAAGGGCAGACCATACCAGGGAGTAAATTAATCGAAACATTGCTTACAATTTCTTGCCAGTAGGGTACTTAAAAGAAGGAGTGTCTTCTAAGGGAATGTCAAAAATGTTGTTACTTTGGAACGTTTGAGTCTATGAGAACCGAGTCCAGATAGGGGGAACAGTGGAATCCTCTCATTTTAAAGTGGAACATATAGCCTTGATTAGAAAGGAATCCGTTTCCTTCTGTTTAGGCAAGACAACAGCCAACTGAAATTCGGCTGATGGGATCTCCTCCTCTAGGGAAGAGAGGCACTCAACATCTAAAAAGAGTAGTACTAAGTCATTCCTTGCATAACAGAAGAAAACACCTCATCCATGAGAAAGGAAAAGGAATGAGCACCCAGAGATTAAACAGTGGGTTCAGAGGATCCGACTGGGGTCTGTAGGTGGCACAGAAGCAAGCACAATCCTATGCCTATTTTAGCCTTGCATAGAGTACAAAAGTGGTCCTGTTTAGGTGGTTTACCTGCAACCACAGAGGCCAGCCACTCTTTATGTTTAGTGCCAAAAAAGGCTAAAATAGCAGAGGCTGCCATGCCAGAAAAAAAAGAGACTCTTCCACGATACTTGCAGACCAAACATAGCAAGGCTTGAAGACAAGGTATAGAGAGGTGTATGGTTGTGATCACAATCAACTAAGAGGAGAACCTGCCCGAGGTATTACTAGGAAGAACGAAGTTGGCTCTGCTCCCTTATTGTCAGCAGCCAGGTCTGAGAAGAAGACAACACAATAAGCAGGGTGTCTAGTCTAAACTACAGTGTGATCTGCTGGCAGAAGCAGGGTATTGCAAGCTTCACAATGCTTGGTCGCTCCAGAAAGGAGAAGGAGGTGAGAAATTTAAAATGGCAGTTTGGGCAAAAACAGTGCCCAACCACCTGAGAGAAAAACCACTTCATTATACAGCCTGAACGTGAAGTGGAGGGTTTCCCATTAACAAACATAAACCCAGGTTGCATAAAAACATATGTCAAGGTATACAGAAGGGTTCAAAATAAGAGGAGATCTTAATTCCTCTTACAAAGAGCCCAGAAAGTTACAGTCTGAAACCTCAGTTCAAATAAGAGGAAAGATTTACTTAACAGAGCAAATAGCTTGCCAGCCACTCACAGCAAGCGAGTCTTCAGAGATGGGCACAGGAGAAAACTGCTACAACTCTGGTCCCAATAACTTCAGATAAACTGGCTTGACCTGAAAGCAAAGTCCTGTGGTAACTGTAGCACAGATGGGTTGTCACTGCAGGGCTGTGGCAGAGAAAACACCAGTATACTTAAACTGGGAAAACCTGCGCTTGTTGGGTAACTGAAGAGACTTCCAGGATTTCCAATATCCAGTACGAATTTACCAGTAGATGTTGATAGTAGAACAAAAAAATGTCCAAATCTGTCAAAAAATATAGCAGAAGGGAAGAGCAATCCATTTTCCTGAGGATACTGAGCAGAACTGAAAAGGTGTGAGGTGGGAAGGGTTATAGCCTCAAGGGGTTTGCCTTCAGTTTTCTACATGCGTAGTGTTCTTTTCTGCTGTTGTCAGCAATATAACCCTAAGTTCCTAACTTATCTTCAAGCTGTGTCCCTCAACGGATAGAGAAAAAGGAGATTTGGTATGAAAAATGTTTCTCAAATAAAATAGAAAAAACTAAAAACTATGTTATCAGTAACATTTAAAAAAAAATCATGTGGCTATCTAGGATTTTAGTTTGTATTATGGTATTCTTAACTGCTCTAACAAAGGTGTTCATGATAGATAAGGCACAACTGCGCCATATGCAGGTAAAGGCAGCAGGTTCCCTTTAATGCCTGCCCCACCAGCTGCACACACTTGCCTTTCCTTTCTTCCCCTACTGCTCTGTTTAGCCACTGAAGCCGGTCACCAAGAACCAGCACTGTCATGTGGAAAGTAGAGGAGAGAGTCACATACTCCCTCCTTACCTGGAAGTACCAGGAACAACCAACCAAAGCAAAAAATACTTTTTTTAAAGTAAAGTTATCCTTTATTTATATTTATAATTAACTCAATAATGATAACCAAATACTTTATATCAGAAACCGTTTTAGCGTTGTAATGAACGGGACAAATTGCATAATAAAATTAGCACTTTTTATCTACAGTACCACAAGTTACAATTTCACTGGTCAGTCTAGGAAAAAAAACCTTTTTTCCCCCTTATTTTTTGTCTTTAAAAAGGGTAGAGCCAATTCAATAAAGGGCCCATTCACACTGTGCCGCTCTCCTGCTTTGTGCTAAGGCAGGCTATTCAAATGAGTGGGCTGCCAATGCACCAGTACATTCATATGGACATGCAACATTTTGTTTGGCGCAGAGCATCACAATACACAGTAGAGTGTGACCCCGCATTGTGGTGCACTGCAATGCATCTGCGTCAGAGGTGCACTGGGTGCCATTAAGAATAAATGGATGATGCAATGTGCTAATGTGTGCATGGTGCGTTGCAGTAAAGTGCAGTAAAGTGCATGTTACCGAAATGCACCGGAACAGATCGGTGTAAACAGGGTCTCACTCCAAGAAGAAAATGTACAACTTATGTACCATAGGTAATAAAGTTAATAAGAAATGAATGCACCCATAGCTGAAAATTAAAAATGGCTCTTGGAGATTAAAGAAGAAAATTCAGGCAGAATAAAACTTAACTCTTGCAGTGAGGCTACCCCCACTCTGTAAGGGTTAAAGGCTCGTTTTCGTCTAGGGTCTACAATAACAAAGATATACGCACGTGAACTTCGGTACCTCCTGCCCGCTAGACTGGTCCCTCTAGCCTTTCTCCCTCTCTGCTCGAGTGATGGAATGTCTCTCAACGTCCTCACTTCCAATACACTGCATTATCCTTGGAATGCCAGAGCGGAGAGGGACTGGGGTTCAGGTCAGTAGAAGTTGGTCATTTTAGACCCTAGACAAAAATGAGCACTTAACCCTTGCGGTGCAGATTACATTTTATGGTGCCCGGAGTTCTTCATTAAGTAACTTTTCAGTTCTTAATTCCCTTTGCAGTGATTCGAGTTCCAGGGACCTTTTCACATACTTATCAAGTTCCTTAACAGCTTAACTGTAAAAGCTCAGATTTACACACACACAACTAATGAAGAATCAAATACTCCACACTCCCTTCTCTGTTCAGAGCAAACATACAGTATGTCTACACTCAGAGAAGACATGATATTCCTCTCTTAGAGATGAACACTAATTAGAAGATACAGAACATGGTCATTGCAAATGTACATTACTGTACAAAGGATAAACCCCATAGAGTTTAAAGTGAACTTAATTACACATCGATTTGGAACTCAAACGTTGTAACTTATCCAGGACTGAAATGTTGTATTGCATCATCATTTCCTTACAACTAAAAAGTAAACACCACAAGCCAGTACTACCAAGACGAATGAATACAAGTCCCACTTTTTTTCTTTATCCCTGGTGCCCCTCCTTTATGCTACAGAACAGCGACACCTAACCCAGAATGTTGGCCACAAACCCTCAGTCATTTATCCAGCACCAGCCAGGAGTTGAGAAGGGCTCTGAATGTAAGCAGGCTGGTAACTACCCATCCTTTTGCAATGACAGAGAAAAAAAAAATTCAAAGACTATCAGGGTTATTCACAAAAGGGTGAAGAGTTTGGAGAGGGCAGGAGAAGTGACCAATCTAGGACAATATAGCTGAACTGGAAAGTGAGATGAATTGGAGAATTGTTCCAAATAAGCTGTGTAGTCCTAGATTGTTCAAGTCTCCTGCCTTCTCCAAACTCTTCACCCTTTTGGGAATAACCCTGTAAGACATGCTTGACTGTGAAACAAAAGCTTACTTAGCTAAGCTTCCACATTACAGGAGTAGGGGGAGCTCCACACAGAATACAGAATGGAAGTCTGTATACGGACAGTGTCAAATGAAATGATAAATGCATCATGGAAATAACCTTAGAAAGGAATATAATTTACTATACATGCTTAGTAAATAATAATAAAAAAGTAAAATTATATACTAGTCTAGGGGGGGACATATTAAGACATCATTAACTGACCACTGACAACTTGATAATTCTAGAGCAAGGAACTGGCAATCTAAAATGTGATCTGCTGCCATTTCAGTACATATTTAGGGCTATTTAACCTTGATTGGTAACTGCTGAACTTGCTTTTAATTTCCAGTGACTCCATTACTGTAAAATTAGAAGACAAATAAAGTTGTCACATGTAATGCAAAAACTCAGTTCTCACCTGGTTTAACATAACATCATATACATCATCTTCTTCACAGAACACATGAGCCTAGAAGAAGGAAAATACAGGAGTTAATAAAATGTATCAGCCATGGCTACTCAAGCACAAAAAAAATCATTAGGAGGTGCACCGAAATGGAAATTTTAAAACCGAAACTAAAAAAAATGTCAGGCCGAAAACCGAAACGGATACCAAAAATGTTTATTTTTTTTAAATATTTTATTTTTTATAAACGTTTTACATTTTTTATACTTATTAAATATTTTTATTTTTTTAACTTTACTTTTAGGGGCTCCGGGGAAATATTAGGGGTCTAAACAGACCCCTGATATTTTCCTTTTAAAATAGAAAAAGAGATTGAGAACACAAAGTCCTCAATCTCTTTTTTTGTGTCCCCTGTTATCAATGAACAGGAATCCTCTATGAGTGTTCCTGTTCATTGATAACATGAGTACATTGTTTGTTTACTATAAATACAATTATGAATGAACAGGAGGTGATGTAGATCACTCCCATTCATTCATAATTGAGCATATAGTTAACATGCCATATCCTCAATTATGTACACACACTCAGCGATCACTGATCACTGAGTGTGTGTACCTTGCTTTTCTCTGACAGCTGTCACAGGAGGCTGATTGAGCGGTGTAGGGAGGAAAGCCCAGCCTCCTGTGACAGCGCTGTCTCCGCCCACACACCGCTCTGCCGGACTGTGATAGGCGGCTGAGCGGTGTGAGAGGAGAGACGCTGGCCGCTCACAGCGCTCTCGTCCTGCACTACTCGGCCAGCTGTCACTTTCTTTTCTCCCCGCTGGAACAGCGGCCAGCGGGGAGAAAAGAAACCAGGCATGCGCCGATGTATCGGCCGAAACATGGCTCTTTCGGCATTATGCCAAAAGTGCCATTTTCGGCCGATATGTTTCGGCGGTCGATATATCGGTGCATCCCTAGAAATCATAGCACGAAACATATCACATACTTATCACAAGCTTGTTTTTATAGCCATCCGATTAGAACTAGAAGCACAACAGGCAATTTAACGCACCATGGCAGAACAACCAAATACTATCGTATTAAAGCAGCAGCCTTATCAACAAAACTTTACTAATGAATTCCTTAAATGCAAAAGAAAAAAAACCACTTAGCATCGTCTGCAGGCTGGCTAAAACAGCATATATCTCTAAGACAGTGGTTCTCAACCTGTGTAACCTCCGGACCCACATTTGTCCTTGGTCATTAAGTCGTGACCCAAGTGGTGCAGGTGATCGGACTGTGAGTGGGAGGTTCGTTTGGGGTGTCAATCAAATTAATGGCAATGTAAGTAAGGCACCTTCCACACTAGAACATGCAATAGGTGCGATTGCGTGGTACAGTGCATTAATCACATGGGACAGTGTGATTAACGCACTGTACTAGTTCAACTGACCCTCAAAAACACTGACAGACACACAACCACATTCACACTCCAAAAAAATATGTAATTTTTTTTTCTTTTTTTAAGATCCACCCGGTCTCCCTACCCTTATGAGAACTGGAATGGATCCTCAGCCTGGGTTTCAGTGTGGGCTGCTGTGCTGCGATGGAGCTCCATCCATATGTGCATTGCTTGTACAGCTCGCTTGCATGCCCTATAGAGGTGCCGAGAGCCAGAATGTGACGTCAGTCCAGTCACCTCTATAGGGCACATGTGAGAGCGGTAGGCAATGATGTAGGGACGGAGCTTCCTTATGGCCATATTTCCAGCCCACCCCACCTCAAGCTGGACATGCAGGGCCGGGCAGCATATTTTGAATGGCTGCTCGGCACAAGAACTTATGGTGCTGCGCTAGAGGGAGGCTGAGGAGTCTCTCACCTAGAAGGAAGGCATGGGACGACCCCCTGAACATGGAGTCGCGACCCACTTCTGGGTCACGACCCACCAGTTGAGAACCAAGGCTCTAGAGAATTTGGGACCAGGTTTTCAAACCCATACTAGGCCATCTGTATAGCGGATATTGATTTTTTTTTTCATAGGTCATTAAAGTTCAGGCCCAAATCTATTATTATACTGAACTGATAAGTGGGGAGATTGGCATTTAGGTAAACAGATATACCTAGTCCACAAACATAGTTGCATTGCTTTCTATTCTTGATTATAAAGGCATCCAGAAAAACATTAAATAATCCGTATTACTACAAATACAGATTTCAGGCAAAACATACCTTTCCAATTTTGCTGGAACATTCTGGATCAATCGGAGCTTTACCTTTTAAAACCAGAGTTTTCACTTGTTCTGTGAACAGAAAGATATTAACATAAGACATAACAAAATGAACAATAACACTCTGTTCAACTTTTGGTGCCTCCTAAACTTCAGTTCTTGAGTAGCCCAACAAGAAACATGCAATAAACCTATCAACCAACCCTACCTTTGCTGTCCTCTTCAGTTTCCACGATTTCTACACTTTTGTTCCTTCGGGGACGTTTTGAAGAAGTTGGTCCATTAGGGACACTTTGTTTTGGCTCGTCACTTCCTTGATCTACAGCAACTATTCAAACACAACAGCAAACAAAATTCCATCAAAACTAAACTCCAGATATACGTTAAAGAAATATTTTAATGCAACAGTATTCACAAGCCTCTCTTATTCCCCTGTATAGTAAATCTAATGTTGGTGGGAGCGGAAGTAGCACAAGGAAACAGTCTGTTGTGCTGCAGTACTTATATTCTAACAAGGAACATGTTGAAAGGAGAAGAGAGCAGAGTAACAGGGAAATAAGTTCACCAGTCTGCTGCTCCTCCATTCCCTGTCCAGTCATAGGCTGGGGAGGGACACAACCTGTAAGCGTTCATTAACCGCAAGAAAAAAAAAAAAAAAAGAAAATCAGGTCTTCTGCCCTGCCAGAGAGGGCTATGCTCTGTGGCAGAGCTGTGTAAGTCTCAGGGCTGGATTCTCAAAAACACAGTCCTATAAAGGACTTCCATCTGTGTATGCAGTTGCTTGCTTGCTTTAAACTAGGTTCAAAGACAGTTTTATTGTCACACGTCGGCTAGAACGATGAGGCTGAGTAATTTTCACTTGCCTCATAGTTCTCTTTTACGTGTTTGTTTTCATCTAGAGAGTAAAAAAACAAAATTTTACTCACCTTTACTGTTCAGCTGGCTGGCTGTTACACCCCTTCGCTGCAGTTGCTCAAGGTCCTGGGAGTCATCACGGACAATACAGTGTCTAGGATATGAGGACGCCGTGGGATATTTCATCGCTGCAGTGGAGGAGGCAGGCTGGAGGGAGAGCTGCAAGAGCCAGCCGGCTGCTGGGTTCAGGTCTAGCAGCCAGGTGACACTAATGTTTAGGTGAGTATATCTTTGACCCTAGATAAAAACAAGCACTTAATCCTTTCAGTGCGGGGATAGCCCCACTGAAAGGGTTAAGAATATTTTTTTCTCCTGGCGTTCTTCTTTAAACCTGGCCGACTTCTGTATGCTGCATGGTCACTGATGCAAATTGGTCTACAAAATATGTCACTTATATTACCAACACTGACCCATCTGAGTACCATTTGTTTTCATGGTTTGCACACTTACCAGATAAACAACGCTGAATCTCTCGCTCATGCTGAGTCTGGGTATTTTTCTGCACCATAGCTCCAAGATCAACTGTGTAAGGTCTGCCACCCAAACTTAGGGACACATGCTTTTCATCATCCTGCAGTGCAGACTCCAGCAAGACGCAGGTTTTGGCATCATAGGAGACCCAGTAATCATCATCTGACTTCCACTGCCATACAAAATCTGCAATAAAAAGGTGACATGAAAATAAGACATCACACAAAAAAATAAAAAATAATAATAATGCAATAATAAAAAAGATTTTTTTGTACTAACCCTAAAATTGTTCATTGAGGGACACAGCTTAATGGTAATAAGCAACCAACAGCTATGCTGCCACCTACATGAGGAAAGGACACTAGGCACACAGAAACTGAAGGCCAGCCCCATTAAGGCTATAACCCCTCCCACCTGTTCAGTTGTAGCAAGCAGTCCAAAGAAGACAAAGATTTTATGGCAAGTGCAAAACTCCTTTTTTCGCTGTTGTCCATCGAGGGACACAGTTTTATGGTAATAAGCAACCTAGGGAAACCCAAGGATAAAACAGCTGGATTTCAAAACTTTTTGACCGAAACTAGCATCTGCAGAACCAGATACATGGACCTTGTAGAACTTAAGAGAACGTGTAAACAGAAGACAAGGTTGCAGCCTTACTGAAAAGCTGGAGACATTTTTTCATGTTAAAATGCACATATTAGGCCTGAGGATTACTTAAAACCCCCAAACCATTATATTTATTCTGAAAGCAGAAATGCTGTAGAATGAATGGTGGCAGTTGTAATGTTTTATGTCATATGATAATTGTAAAACGATTTAATAAATCGATATTTTCAGCTAAAAAAATACTAATTAATTCATTGAAGGACACAGGCAACAGATCGTAGATCCTGAATGGTAGGGACGTCACCAAGCAGTAACACACTGAGGGATGGGCAACAACAAACAAAACACCCAAAAGACCCCTCGAAGCGCCGCCTGCAACACTTTGCGCCCCAAACCAGCATCCGCCGATGCGAACACGTCCACCTTGTAGAACTTAACAAAAAGGTGTGAACAGAAGACCAAGAGTGGCCTTACAAACCTCAGAAACAGAGGCCCCGTGGCGGAAAGCCCAGGAAGCCCCAACAGCCCTAGTAGAATGGGCAGTGACAGAAAATGGAGGCTCACGCCCCTTAACAGCGTACGTCTGAGTCACAACAGTACGCATCCACCTAGAGATGGTAGCAGCCGACGCGGCCCGAACCTTACGAGGACCCTCCGTGAGCACGAACAGGGAGTCGGTCCCGCGGAAAGAAGCCGTAGCTTCCAAATAAACATGAAGAGCGCGAACCACATCCAAACAGTGGAGCGCACGCTCCTTCCTATGGACCGGCTTCGGACACAGGGAAGGTAAGACAATGTCCTCATTCAGATGGAATGCCGACACAACCTTCGGCAGGAACGCCGGCCGAGGACGGAGAACCTCCTTGTCCCGATGCAAAACCAGCAACGGGGACTTGCAGGACAAGGCAGCCAACTCCGACACCCGCCGAACGGAAGTGATGGCCACCAGAAAGGCCACTTTCTGTGACAAAGATAGAAGCGGAATCTCCCGAAGAGGTTCAAACGGGGATTCCTGCAACACCGAAAGCACGAGATTCAGATCCCACGGAGCCAAAAGCGAGCGGACAGGGGGAGCAATGCGTGTCACCCCCTGAACAAAAGTGCGAACCAGAGAATTAGACGCCAAAGGCTGCTGGAAAAGCACCGCCAAGGCAGAGATTTGACCCTTCACAGTACCCAAGGCCAGCCCCTGAGCCACCCCGCGCTGCAGGAAGGCAAGGAGCCTGCTGATGGAGAACAAACGCAGGGACAGGGCCACACCAGGCAAAATAGGCCCTCCACGTGCGACGGTAAATTTTTCTAGAACCCGCTTTGCGCGCTCTGAGCATAGTGGAAAAGACCACATCGGACAACCCCCGGCTCTCAACAGCCACGCCGTCAAAGCCAGCGACTGTAAGAAGGATGGAACACAGGACCCTGGGACAGAAGATTGGGGCGCAGAGGCAGACGCCACGGGGCGTCCACCACCAGCTGAACCACGTCCGCGTACCACGCCCTCCAAGGCATATCCGGGGCCACGAGGACGACGGTGACGCACTCGACCGCGATCCGACGCAGCAGCCGAGGTAACAGATACAGTGGAGGAAAGGCGTAAATTAGACCGTAATGACCCCAAGGGGCCACCAGGGCATCCACGGCCTCCGCCCAGGGATCCAGGGCCACAAACCTGTCCACCTTACCCAGCGACGACAGAGCTGCTGAAAAACCTCCGGGTGCAGAGACCACTCCCCCGGATCCACCGACTGTCCACTGAGGTAATCGGCCTGCCAATTGTCCACTCCCGGGATGTAGACCGCCGAGAGAGCCAGAAATCGACGTTCTGCCCAGGACAGAATCCCGAACACCTCTCGACCCGCGGCCACGCTTTATGTGCCGCCCTGGTGGTTGATGTACGCCACCGCAGTGGCGTTGTCTGACTGGACCCGGACCGCCAGACCTGATCTTGTAGCCCGAAGAAACCAGCTCCCGGACCCAAGAGTCGGAGACGTGGGCCAGCCAAAAATCCGCAAAGAGCCAAAGGCGGCCCCCCACCCCGGGACCCGACCTTCATGCGGACTGGGGCTTGCCGGCGGGCTTGGCAGACTTGGGCTGCCACGGACGCTTGGAGGATTGGGAAGAGGAGGATTTGTTAAACTCACCGCCCTCGTCAGAGGGCGGAGGGGGCCGAAAAAGCTGCTTGTGAGCGGAGAAAGAAGGCCCAGGCTTCCGGCGCTGTTCCTGCTTGCGCGCCTGGGGAAGGTACTCTTACCCCCCGTCAGATCCTTAATGATCTCATCCAAGGTGGAACCAAACAGCCGGTCCCCAGTAAAGGGCAACTCCTGAAGAGCCTTCTTGGAAGCCTGATCCGCCGACCAGCACTTAAGCCAGAGCAAACGTCGAAGCGTCACCGCTGACACCGACACCCTGGACACCAAGGGCGCCGCATCCAAGGCCGAATTACAGACATAACGAAGGCCTTGCACCAACTGGTCCGCCAATTCCACAAAAGCGGGGGAGACGTTCCCTTACGCAAGACCCTCATGTAACATTTTAGCCCACTCAGTTAGAGTCTGAGAGACCAAAGCCGAAGCCAAGACCGGACGCATGAGAGCGCCCGAGACAGAGTACAGAGACCGCAAAAGCGCCTCAGCCTTCCTATCGGAAGGATCCGTAAAGGACGGAGAATCCTCCACCGGAATAACCGTGGCTTTGTTCAAATGAGAGACCGGCGGGTCCACCACCGGTGGGGAAGACCACTTAGACACAAAGTCCTCCTCGAAGGGGTAGCGAACCGAGAACCGCTTATGAACCGCAAGGGCCTTGGAAGGCCGTTTCCACTTGTAAGGAAACACCTTGGCGGAACGCCTACTCTTATGCGTCCCAAACTGCACGTGTGGCAGCGCGGAAGTGCTGGCAACGTCCTCAATTTTAAAGGGTCTCCCCGACAGCGCGGACCAGCGCTGAAAACCGTCTCACGTTCCTGGACCAGGAGCGTAGACGCAGCCTCATCCTCACTGGCCGAAGCAGGATGGAGGAATCACCCGGATCAGGATGAGGTGATGGCTCGGGCAGTTCCCCCTCCTCTTCGGACTCCCCTGACAAGGCAGGGGACGGCAAGGGCAGGGCCCGCTTCCTAGGTGGGCGCTGCGTCAAGGCGCGCTCCATGCGCGTCACAAACCCATCCATGACAGAGGAAAGATTCCAGGGACAATGCGGTATCCGCGGTACCACCCACCCCCCCTGAAGCACCAGAGAGACGCACGGGCGACAGCGCAGGCGTACAGGATGCACAAAGAGGGGATCTAGAGGGGTCCGCAGAGCGCAGCCCACAACCCTCACAAGGCAATGCAGGAGAGTCATCCCTGCGATCCATCCTCAGCAAAAACCACCCCACGGACCAGAGACCACCAGGCAAGGGAAAGAGGGACCCCCAGCAACTCACGACCCTCAGTGTGTGTCCCGGCCCAGACGTCCGACCCTGCAAGGAGGAGGAGCTCTGCACGTTGTGTCCTTCTCCTACGGCGTCCATGAGCCGAAAGGAAGACACTCCCCATCCGCCCGAGGCTATAGGAGGGCCGGGCGGAAGTTACGCGAAGAAAGGGCAATTTTGCCCACATCCAAGATGGCCGCTGCAGAGCCGCCTGGAGGCCGCAAAAGCCGGGGCCTCGAGTAGCGGCCACCGCAGATGTGGCCGCCCTACACAGGCGGCCGCTGGGGACGGAGAGCAGCGCCCGTCCCCCACCCCAAGAGCACCCGAATCAGGATGTGAGGATCAGACCGAGACAACCAGGACGGCGGCCGCGGAGCCGCCCGGAGGCCGCATCCAGACCGGGACCTCGAGTAGCGGCCGCCAAAGGAGCATCAGCCGCGAGGTACCACCCACACCACCACTAAGCACCCAAGGCCCAGGTACCCCCCGGAGGGGCCCTGCACAGGAGCCAGCACCATGTAGGTGGGAGGGAGGGAGGCGGGGTGTTTTGTGCCTAGCGTCCTTCTCCTGCAGGTGGCGATATTACCCTACCATTCAGGATCTACGATCTGTTGCCTGTGTCCTTCAATGAACGGGAGAGAAATGTGTATGTACTTTTTTCATTATTGTTTTTTTCATTATTTTTTCACTAAACTTTATTGGTATTACACAGGAGCTAACAAGCCCGTGTGTGATAGCATTTGGAGGCAACAGGTTCTCTTTATGGAAACTGTCACCTCCAGTACAGGAGTTCTAGCACGATCTCCTGTTACAGCTGAGATGGGAAGGCTGCGAGTGTAGCGTTCCTGTCTCAGTTTCCACAGGTCCGTTCTCAGCTCTGCATCCTGAACTAATTTGCTGTGCCCCCAGAAGAGCGGGGGACCCCGAAAACCACATCGGGGAGGGAGGCAGCAGTCGGGAAGAGAGCCGGCAGACAGTGACAGGTGGTGACAGAGACGGCAGCCAGGGAGAGATGCAGCGGGTAGTGAGAGAGGCCGAGTGACAATCAGACTGCTTACAAGTGATCTTGAACGGCTGTACTTCATGTCCTGGGCGTCAGGAATTCAACACCCTTGACATAGACAGTCGTGGAACACCTCCTGATGGAGAAGCCATTCCCCTGGATCCAGACATTGCTAAAAATCATCCAGAAAATCTTCCAAATCAAGTAAAAAATCCAGCAAAGAGGAAGGAGACAGAGGGCACTAAGCATAACACACAGTATGGGTATGTGCCCAGTATCCATTTATCCTGTAGGCAGCAGTATTACCCTTGGTTGGTTATAACCATAAAGCATTGTTCTTCAATGGACGATAGAGAAAAGAAGAGTAAGCAAATCAGTGATCACACACACAATGCAGAGATTTTCTGGGGCACATACAAAAGCTGGTTTAATGAAAACAATTGAATGATGCCAATTCAGCAGTAACTGTGCATAGTCATGTTGAAAGTAGTGTTAGTTTATGTAGTCACTTCATATAAAATGTTGCTTAGCTAGAAGTATAAACAGTTAAAGTAGTATTAAACGCTCAATGTTTTCAATAATTAAAAGGGTTTTTCCCCATAGTTCTCCTTAGGGTAACGGGAGGCGCAAACTAGCGTCCTCCTGTCACCATAAGCTCAGTATACCGCGAGCCACAGCTCGCGGTATACTGAGGCGCCCCAGTATACCGTGAGTTACAGCTCGCGGTATACTGAGACGCCGCAGCTAAAGCGGATGCCGACAATTATGTCTGGATCCGCCCAGCTGCGTGAGTGACAGCTTTCTCTGCCTATCTAGAGGTAGAGCCAGCTGTACCCGCCCCCTCCCCCGTCCGTTCCGCCAGTCAGCGCTGGAGGATCGGAGCGGGGAGGGGGGAATCCAGCCCCTCCCCTGTCACGGCTCTCTGTCGTGACAGGATCGAGAAGCGAGCGAACGCCGATATGTGTTCGCTCACCTCCCGATCTTCTGAGCCGATTTGTGACAGTCTCATTGTCACAGGTCGGCTAGAACTATGAGGTGAGTGAAAAGCACTCACCTCATAGTTCTCCTTTAATCCATATCAAACAAATATACATTGCCCAGCAAAGTATTTATTTATATTTTTGACTAAGGACTTAGTCATTGTGTTTCCAAAAAACTGGCTACAACTGTGTCAGTGCAGCTTCCCTAAACTCCTTTCCAGTACAAGATCACAAGCAGCCTCTAGCAGCCGTCCATCTAATAGCTTGAAGAAGAGAGGAAGGAGTGGGGAGCAGAGGATTGGCTTCCCTGCTGTGTCTATGCGTTTGAGGAAACACACACAGCTTACTAGGACACACGAGGGTGGCTCCATAGGACCTTGTAAGGGAAGAGAGCCACCCTAAAACAGGATATCAGGGCCAGTGCTCAGGGCACCTGCTGATTCTGGAGGACACTAAAACACCAAGGAGCAGTATTGATTTAATCAGTGATTTCCTTAACCTTTTGATTTCACTATCACTTTAAGTCTAAGACCTACGACTATGGTCGTATGTAATGAAGAATTTAAAAAAGAACATATGAAAACTTAATTCTTGCAGGGGGGCTACCCAGGGACTGCAAGAGTTGTGCTCGTTTTGGTCTAGTCTAAAATAAAATGATATACTCACCCGATCCTTGGTCCCTGCCTGGCTGCTAGACCAGTCCCCACAGCCTCTTTCCTGGGCTGTGGCAATCTAAAGGACCTGCGAGTCATCACGTCTAATACAGTGTATTGGATGTGAGGACGCTGAGGGACATTCCAATGCGGGAGCAGACGTGGAGAGATGAGCGGTTACCACAGCACAACTGAGGATTGGGTGAATATACCTTTTTAAAAATTATTTTAGACCCTAGACAAAAACGAGTACTTAACCCTTGCAGTGCAGAGGTAGCCCCACTACAAGGGTTACATTTAAATATGCCCGGAGTTCTACCCCCAAAAAACAAAAATCCCTTGAACATTTTGCAGCACTCTTGGGAACTGTACATCACATTATGAAACTTGAGATATATTTTTAAATGGCATATGTATAACTACAAACTCACATTGGTCCTGTTCCTTGACTGCAAGACGTATTTGTCTTTGGTAACCACTCTTTGTATTTTTTTGGATCATCTTCCTAAAATCCACTTGCAGAGACACGCCTACGGCTGGTGAGAGTGTTAAGCTTTGTTTCCCATTGCTAAGGAAAAGAAGAGATTTAAGACAAAAAGTAGATGTGCTCTCATACCTTAAAGTGTATGGAAACCCCAACAATGACATTCTCTTACTTTGAGTCTGTTAAACAATAAAAAGTGTTTTTCGATATCTGTTCAATTGCTGATCAGAAATACAGTGCTTTTCTGTTACCTCTAGAAGCCACACTACCCCCCACACCCTGTCAAATCTGTACTACAGAAGAATTAGTCCCTATGCTGTAAGCTGTGGGTATGAGAGAGTGGAAAGATCCAGTAGTTTGGAAAAAGATAACTTGGCAGGGCTGCCACCACTCACTCCACCAAAATTAGGGATGCGCCGATAACGATACCAGTAACGTTGCCTATACCAAGTATTTGGGCGAGTACTCGTTCTCGCCCAAATGCTCCAATGCCTAGCCCTATATCCGAACTTCCAGTTTTAGGAAGCCGGGCAGCGGGTCATTACATGCGGCCTGGCTTCCTGATTGGCTGGAAAGCCGTCTCCATGCCCCCTTGTCACCGTATGACTCGCTGCCCAGCTTCCGGATTGGTCAAGAAGCTGGCCAATCAGGAAGCCAGGCGGTGAGTCATTACCCGCCCCCCTGATTGGCCAGAAAGCCGGCTCCATGCTGCCTCGTCACCTCAGGAAGCCGGGTGGTGAGTCTTTACACACTGACCAGCTAATCAGGAAGCCAGGTGGCGAGTCATTAGATTGTAAGCCCTCAGGGGCAGGGCCCTCCTTACCATCTTGTCTTGTATTGTAACTGTAATGTCTTCCTTTTATTTTAAAGCGCTGCGCAAACTGTTGGCGCTATATAAATACTATGTAATAATAATAATAATAATAATTACACGCCGCCTGGCTCTCTTAACGGGACTTCCGGTATCGGTATTGGAGAGTACTGACAAAATAAATATTGGCACACATGCTCGATAGCGAAAAACCGGTATCGGTGCATCCCTAACCAAAATGCTATGTTGTCAGCACATAATAAAAATGATAATCTTAATGTTATTACTGGCAGATGAAGACTTATTTGAAATACACTTTAAAGTCCAGTCCAAGTCAGTCCATCCAAAACTGGAATCTTTAAATGAATACCGGTTTATAGATTTTTTTTAGGCACACACAGTCACTTCAGGAAATTTGCAAACTTCAGGTTTTCAAGAGTCAGTTGGTATGCTCAGACACTGTTAAGCTAAGCAAGTGCAAACAGACTTAACTGGTTTTCGGACATTGGTATAGCTGCCCTGTTTTTCCATTATTCATATCTAGCTTACTTACTATGGAATATTGTTATGAGGTAATTGTAAACAGCACTCCTAGGCTGATTATTATTAGCTAGACTCATTGGCACCTGACTGACTGTCGATGGCAATTATGGTGCTGTGTTGCCATCCAGAGTTGGACAAAGGTGAGATACACCTCACATAGGACTTTTAATACAAGTGCTAAGGGCAACACCCACAGGTGTGCTACCAAGTTTTCTGAACAAAAACAGCAACCCAGGTACAAGAGAAAGGAATTCATAAGAGGACTTTGACCAAAGATGGCGTCGCTGGAACAAAAAACGACTAAAGGCCACACTTCAAGAAAGACTGTAAGCAGAAGGCATTTTCCTGTGAATGCCTAATTGCCACAAAGTCCTGTTTGAATACAGAATCCTGTAACCCTGTAACTCGACATTAAGTGACATTTGTGTGTCCTCTTATAGAAACATTCCATGTACTAGAAAGGATAGATTTAGTGGGTGCATGTGTATGTTTGTCTGTATTCAGCCTTATGTTTGTGTTTGTACTGCTTTTCCTGTAAGTAGTTTGTGCACACAGCATTTTTGTATAGTGTAAATACGTTAAATACTACAGGTGTCAGTTTCCTTGGGCTTTACTACAACAATCAGACAAACATTTGTAAAGGTTATGCTGAACATTTCAGCACCTTACCCGAGTGCTTGGTTAATTTGTCTGTTAAGCTCAGCAGCATAAACCATCCACATGTCTCCATCATTCAGCCATTCCCAGCGGGTCACTAGCTCAGACTTTACAGCAGATTTAGCTATGACTTTTCCAGATTCGGCAGATGCAACACTCACATCTTCAAGTTCAGTCTTTATAACAACTTCTGGCTCAGAATCTGCCTCAGCTTTCCTCTTCTGGGACACTGCTACAGAGAAATACAGATTTTTTTTACAATAAGAAGTAATGTATATTACCTTGTTACTCACAGCTAACCAGAAATGAACTCAGCAAGCATTCATGACACTTCATGGCAATGATTCTGTTAAATATGAAATTGGTATAACAACTTCAGATAAAATATATTAATAGTCTATCATTGATTTAACAACAGAAAAAGAACAGGCAGGAACCCACTGTCTTGAAAGCCTCTTGGAACTAGAGTTACTGGGAAGTCTAGCTTAGGATTTCCCAAGTAGTCTTCCAGGAAATCGCATGAGAGGTAAACAAGAGTTTATCAGATTAGAGAGGAACACATCTTAGAGAATTCTCCTCTCAAAAGGCTAACCATGGGCATTATAATGATTAGGGATGCACCGATATATCGGCCACCAAAACAAAGCAGCCAAAAATGGCACTTTTGGCTAAATGCCGAAAGTGCAATTTTTCTGCCGATAGATCGGCACATTCCTGCTTTCTCTCCTCCCCGCTGGGCGCTGCTCTGTGTCCCAGCAGGGAGGAGAGAAATTGTGATAGCCGGCCGAGCGCCGGCTATCACAATCACAAAAAAGAAGGTAACAAAAGATGTGACCTTCTTTTGCCTTGAAGAAGGGACCCTGCGTGGCCCTGAAACGTCGGCTCTTTTTGATTATCGTGACACAATTGCCCAATAAAAAGCACTTATTCATTTAAATTATTTTGAGTGCTGGTGACCTATATTTTTTCTACTTTGTAAATAATTAAGGGCATGGTGTGGTTACTATATCCTCAATTATGAATGAATGGGAATGGATCTACATCACCTCCTGTTCATTCATGATTGTGGTTATAGTAATCATACTATAGTCTCATGTTATCAATGAACAGGAACACTCAGTATAGAGGATTCCTGTTCATTGATAACAGAGGCTGCAGAAAAAGAGATTGAGGACTTTTTCTATTTTAAAAGGGAATTATCAGGGATTTGTTTAGACCCATACTATTTCCCCAAAGCCCCTAAAAGTAAAGTAAAAATATTTTATAAAAATGAATAAAAATAAATATAAAACAAATTAAAAAGTTTATTAGTAGACTTTAGTTCTATACTGATGAGTTGGGAACAACCAGACAAAGCTTACAATGAAGGTAACACATCTGAAAAGGCCTGCACTATCCACTCATCCGCCCACAAAAGTGGAGGGCAGAGTCAGGAGACTTGTCAAACGTGCTCTACTCTTAATTACCGCCAGTTTTCCAATCAGTAAACTGTTGGTAATTGTGAATCTGCCACAGTGATAGCAGCACATTCTTAAAGTGGCATTAGTAAGAACTACCTAAATCTGTCACAAGTGTCAGAAAAGCTACTGAAACTGGCAACCTGACTTTCTTTTAACCACTTCCCTAGATCTGAGCGGGCGTCTTTAGACGTCCGCTCAGTCATGCCCCCCTCACGCGCGAATGGGAAATGCCCGTTATTTTGAAAACAGGCAGCAATGCCGGTTAATATACAAGTGATCCGCCGGCTATAGAGTCGCTTGTATGAGGTCCCGTGATGTGCGCCCCCCTCCCGCTGTCAAGCTGGTCCCGGGCTCCGCTGTGCCCGGTGCGAGCACGGGACCAGCATACTGCCTCTGTCACAGGGGATCAGAGGGAGGTCGGTACACGACCTCCCTCCGGTCCCCTCTCCGGTGTCAGAATGCGGAACTGATGTATATTACATCACTTCCGCATTCTTGTGTCACTCTCCAGCTTCAGATGCTGGAGAGAAGCTGATGAAGCAGATCTGTGCTTCATCAGCTTCTTCAGGGGGGTCCTAGGTGACATTAGGGGTCTTGGAGACCCCTGATGTCTCCACAAAGAGGACCTGTCACATATTTTGCTATCACATAAGGGGGTTTCCTTAGCCCCCTATGTGATAGCAATAAAGTTAAGTGGGGAAAAAAAATAGGAAAAAAAACATTTAAGTTTCCCCCCCAAAGATGTAAAGTTACAAATAAAAAAGAATTAAACATTTTTTTTTAAAGTCCCCACCTATACATACACGCATGCAAACATGCGT